TTGTTTTTTTGGCTCCGCTTCGTGGCCCGTGGCCATCCCCACAGCCACGCCCGAACGCCCGAGGTCACCGAGTGCCTCCCCGAGGTCGGCCGCGAGACCCTCGCTCGTGGCCGCGACGAGCTCGACCAGATCCAGCGGCAGACGGGCGCCCAGCTGACCGCGAGGGAGAACCTCCGCGGGGGCTACACCGTCGTCGTCGCGGGCACTCGCTCCGTCGTCGAGAGCGCCATCCCCCAGGTCGGGACGCAGCCCCTGGGAGGCCGAACTCGGGCTCGGCGCCGGCAGACCCGTGGTCGGCAGCCAGCCGGATCCAGTTGGATCGCGCCTCGTCCCGCTTGTTGGTCTCGATCGCGACACGTTACCCAGGATCCCGACGTCATGATCTGTTCATGACGTGGACCCTCAGGGGTCTGAACCCCTTCCCCAGGACCGGCTTCTCATCCCGAGTCGTTTGTGTTGACGGCCCCTGGGGCCCATGAGGGCCCCCAGAGGCCGAAAAGTACAAAACAAAAACTCCTGTCGTGATTTCTGCCACAGCGCGAAGGGGTGGGGGTACAGTCGGGGCGCTGAACAAGGAACCCTTTTCGTTGGGGAGGGGCTCCGTGTTCCTTGATTGTTTCGCAGCTTGCCTTAGGTTGTCCGTAGGTTGAAAATGGGGAATTGAATTTGAACTTATGGAAAAGAGGGGCCTGGTTCCTTATTCAGGGTTCCTTTGGTCAACGCCCCGACTGTAGGCTCGAGGGTCCGCCGACCGCTGCCGGCCGCTGCCGACCGAGCCGACCGGCGAGGATCGCCGCTCGCAGGCCAGCCACAACTGGGGGAGCTGTGGTCCATCGATTTCGACACCCCTCTCGAGAGATCGGAAAGAGCGTGTTCTACCGCTGCTGGCGGAAAACCGGGGGGGGTCACTTCCGGTTCGAACCCCTCCCCCCCCCCCCCCCTCCGGAAAACCGGGGGGGGGTCACTACCGGTTCGAACCCCTCCCCCCCCCCCCAGTTCATCATGAAAAGGGGGGGGGTCACTACCGGTTCGAACCCCCCCCCCCCCCCCTCGAAAACCGAGTGGGGGTGCGGACAGTGGTGGGGACGGTGTTGGTGGGGACAGTGGCGAGGGGACAGCGGGACAGTGGTGGGGACAGTGGGACAGTGGGACAGTGGTGGGGACGGTAGTGGTGGGGACAGTGGTGGGGACAATGGTGGGAACAGGGGGGACAGTGGACAGTGGTGGGGACGGTGGTGGTGGGGACAGTGGTGGTGAGGACAGTGGGAATGAGGTGGAAACAGTGGGATAGTGGAAGGTACAATGGTGGTGGGGACAGTGGTAAAGGCGGTGGCGAGGACGGCGGTGGGAAAATGGGACAGAGGTACAGTGGGGACAGTGGTGGGGACAGTGGGGACAGTGGTGGGAACAGTGGGACAGCTCAGTGGGACAGCGGAGGAGTCAGTGGGACAGTGGGGACAGTGGGGATAGGCAGTGGTTGGGTTCGTGGAGACAGTGGGGAGAGCGGAACCGTGGTGGGAACAGTGGTGGGAACAGTGGGGAGTGGGACAGTAGTGGGGACGGTAGTGGTGGGGACAGTGGTGGGGACAATGGTGGGAACAGGGGGGGACAGTGGACAGTGGTGGTGACGGTGGTGGTGGGGACAGTGGTGTGGGGACAATGGGAATGAGGTGGAAACAGTGGGACAGTGGAGGGTACAATGGTGGTGGGGACAGTGGTGAAGGCGGTGGCGAGGACGGCGGTGGGACAATGGGACAGAGGTACAGTGGGGACAGTGGTGGGGACAGTGGGGACAGTGGTGGGAACAGTGGGACAGCTCAGTGGGACAGCGGAGGAGTCAGTGGGACAGTGGGGACAGTGGGGATAGTCGGGCAGTGGTTGGGGCCGTGGAGACAGTGGGGAGAGTGGAACCGTGGTGGGAACAGTTCTGGGGACAGCGGGGACAGTGCGACAGTGGTGGGGCCACTGGTGGGGACAGTAGGGGCGGTGGTGGAACCAGTGGGGACAGCGGTGGTGAGGACAGTGGTGCTGGGAACACCAGTGGGGGATGTGATGCGGACGGTGGTGGGGACCGGGAGTCGTTTGCTGGCGGTGAGCGGGGGGGGGGGGTTCGAACCGGTAGTGACCCCCCCCGGTTTTTGGGGGGGGGGGGGGGGGTAGTGGGGAGGGGGAGGGGGGGTGGGGCTGGGAGGGGGGGGGGTTGGGGGGAGGGGGGGGGAGAGGGGGGGGGTCCAGCAGGGGGGGGGGGGGGGATTTTCGGAGGGGGGGGGGGGAGACCCCCGGGTTCCGGAGGAAAAGTTTGGCAATTTTCCACAGTAAAGCGGCGGTGGATCACGCTCTCTCGAGAGATCGAGACACCCCTCTCGAGAGATCGAGACACCCCTGGGGGATCCTCGTTCCTTATTTAGGGTTCCTCAGGTCAACGCCCCGACTGCAGAGACGTCCCGGTCCCCCGGGCGCAGACGCCCCGAGCCTTTCCTTTGCCTCCCGCCGCGCGGAGCGGAGCGACACATATGCGAGCAGCTTGCAAGACGCAGCGCGCGCGGCCAGCATGCCGCCGCCACGACACGCGAAGCAGCAGCTTTCAGTTGGGCCTTGGCATCGCTCGGACGTGTGCGTCTTTTCCTCGGCGAGGACCATCGAGGAGCATCCTTGATCCTTTGTCGAAAAAAACCACGCGCGAAACCGAAAAAAACACAGGGAATGGACGTCCGAGCGATGGCCAGGGGCCTGTCCCTCCACAGGAAGAGTCGTCAAAAATGGTAGAAAAATAGTCTGGGGACGATTCTTTGAGTATAGTTCGGCTGTTTAGGGGGTATATTTGGTGTGTATTTGTACTTTCTCCCCCAAGACCCCAAGATCCCCCAGTAGGGGGACATGCCCGACTTAACAACAGCTCCCGACCACACCCCTTGGCTCCATCTGGGCTCACCCTGTTCAGTGGCGCCTCACATCGCCCCCACGAAGACATCCCCAGACATCTGCCGATCTGTCTTTGGTCAACCCGCGGCCCCAGAGGTCCCGAACGCTTCCGCGGGGGTACAGTCCCGCTTATGATTAAGAAACCTCCCTCCGAAAAGCTGGCCCAGCGTTTCTTAACCAACTTGCCGGAAAGCTGGCTCAGTTTCTTACGGGGATCGGTCGCCTTGGATCCTGCAAATGAATCGTGCACGCTCCTGGCTCCCGAAGCTGGCCCAGTGTTTCCTCAAACAACTTCTGAGAAGCTGGCCCAGCCTTCCTGATTGATATTTCCAATCACACTTTTCAGTGTACGTTGCTCTTCGCCCTGGGTCCATGTTTGATAGCCCCTGCCTCCGGCTCCTGTCCAAGGCGTATTTTTTCCTGTGCAAGCTCTTCGGCACCGCCTGTGCCCCGCGCCCTCCGGCCGCCTGGGGCCCCGCCCGCCCGCGACCTGTCTCCCCAATTCGTGCTTTGCGCGCCCCGCCTAGCTCTTAACCGGAAGAGGCGCCCGCTCGCGACCCTCGGACCACAAAACGTTTGATAGCCCCAGGGGGCCCGAGGCCCGACAGCGAGCCCAGGGGCTGAAAGCCGATGGCATGGGCGCTCGGGCCAGGAACAGACACGTCGTCGGAGATGCGAGCTCGGGATCCTCCCCTCCGGCGACCGCTCGAGATCCTTCGGGCACTCCAGGAGCGCCTTCGGGGAGACGCACGCTGCCGGAGCGCACCCCGAGGCTGGAGCGCACCCCGACAGCGCCCGAGATCCTCCACCGCCACCGCTGGGTATCCAGTGCGACCGTGGCGCACCCATAGGAGTGACGCAGAGAAGCGGGGTCGTCTCCACCAAACCTGGCGCGCCTGCTGCCCGCGCGAAGCCGCGCGTGAGCGCCTTCGTTTTCAATGTGGCGTGCCGCGCTGGCGGCCCGCGTGAACTGCGGCGTAGGGTCGCTGTGTCCTCCCGCATGAGACCCCCGTTCTTTTCGTCGCTCATGCCGATCGTACCGATAGCACCCGAGGACCGCCGATGACAACCGAAAGCATCCGCCTAGGCTGTAAAACCACCGACGACACCGGAAGACCTCGACCGCCGCCGCCGGGTGCCCAGTTTAGGCGGGTGCGTGCCCATGCCGGCCGCACCGAGAACACCCGATAGCCTCGGGCGCGAGGGATCGACGACACGTGAGAGTGACCTTTCGCTGGAGTGACCTTTGGTGCGGGCCCAATGGGGCCACCCGATCGCAGAACGCGACGCGGCAGTGGCGTCTTGCGCGCCTGTGTTCGCCCCCCCCGCGGCCCCCCGAAAACCGCACATCAAAAGTCACTCTTGCCCAGGGCCACTTTTGCGTATAGCCGAAGGATTTGGCATCGCTCGGACGTGTGCATTTTCTCTCGGCGAGGACCATCGAGGAGCATCCTTGATCATTTAGCGAACAGTGCCCACACGAAATCGAAAAACGCACGGGGAATGGACGCCCGAGCGATGGCGAGAGGAAACGCCTCGCAGTCCAGCCCAGGTCCGCCGCGCGCTCGCGGGCGCGGGCCCCCGCGGCGCGCCGCAGCCCGGCGGCGCGGACGGGTGCCGCGAACCCCCGCCGCGGCCGCCGCGCGCGGAGCCCGCCGCGTCTGCCGGGGCGCAACCGCCGGAGGCGGCCGCCCGCGCTGCTTCGACTGCGAGGACGCTCGTGCGCAGGCCTCCTGCGCGAGGCCGCGCGCCAATCGCCCCCCCCCCTCTCGAGGGAGGAGAAAACAAAAACACCCGGACCGGACAACCGGCGTTTGCTAAATGGCCCTGGGCGCTTACCAAACAGCCCTGCCCTGTTCGATTCCTTTTTCTCTGGGCGCGCTTGCCAAAGGCCTCGCCTGTCGGGGTGGTTGTTCTCGGAGTGGACGTTCTGCCCTCTGCTCTCCTCCACGAGGTGTGCCGCGCTGGCGGCCCGCGCGAGCCGCGGCGCCAGGCCGCTGCGCCGTCTCGCGCAAGGCCCGTCCCTGTTTTGGGTCGCTGGAGACATAGGGGGAATCTTGGGATTTGTGAGTCTGTGTATTTTTGTTGTGTGTCCCTGGGCCCCTTCTCTATAGAGCCTGCCTGCAGGAGCCCCGCGCCCGGGCCGGAGCCTGGGGGCGAGGCCGCGGAACCCGCGGCGGCGGGGAGGAGGAGGAAGAAGAAGACGAAGGCGAAGGCGGGCACCGGCGGCGCGCAAAAGGGCCGAGATCGAGGAGGTCCGCGCGGCGGGCCCAGGTCGGCGCAGGGCCCCGCTCCTGGCGGCGCCTCCAGCGCCGCCCCTGGGGCCGAACGAAGGGAGCGTGGCATCGCTCGGACGTGTGCATTGTTCCTTCGGCGAGGGCCATCGAGGAGCATCCTTGATGATTTGGCGAAAAAGCCACGCACGAAACCGAAAAAAACACAGGGAGTGGACGTCCGAGCGATGGCCAGAGGGGGGGGGTACGGAAATCTGCTGCACGCAGCTGGTTTCCGCCCCACCGAGGGGCCCATTCCTCGATGCAGGGCCGCCTGCGGCGCCGGGAGGCGCCGGGAAAATCAGCCGCGCGCGCTGATTCTGAAACCCCCCCCCGCTTGGCTATCCCCCCCCTCTCGCCCGGCCCGAGCCCCGCGCGGCAGGGGAGGGGGCTTTGGCGCCGACGCGAGAGTACGGGACGTGAAAACGACCACAGCCACTGTTTCTCTTTTGTTGCCGCCTTCCAGCCAGCAGTAACAAAGCAGTGGCTGTGGTCATTTTCGTTGAGCTAGGCACCAGGGAAATGACCACAACCACTGTTTTTTTTCGGCCAGCTGGAAGGCGGCGCAAACAAGAAGCAGTGGCTGTGGTCATTTTCCCGTCCCGCAGAGAGGTCCCCGGACGTCCGGGAGCGCATGTTTCTGCGGTTGTTTCCCTGCTCTGGACGCGGGGCGGGCAGGGAGATCGGGGCGGCCCACGCGGCGGCGCAGCGCACGCCCTGTGATGTAGGCGTGCGCTGCACGCACGGTGCGCCCGAGCCTGTGGTGGCGTGCGCGTGCCGCGTGCTGGCAGTGAGCGCAAGCGCGGGGCTTCAATGACAAACCAACTACACACACCCATACCCATAGGGGGGTCGGAGAGGGCTATGGGTGCGTGTTGTCGGATGGGGGTCCCCGCTCGAACGGGAGCGTTCCCCAGGGTCCGACAACCCGCACCCATACCCATAGCCAATCCTCCTCTCAACGACCCCCCTATGGGTATGGGTGTGTGTTGCTCGTTCGTCATTCAAGGCGCACGACTGGTCCGATGCAGGCTGCCCCCCTTCGAAGGGGGCCCCCCCGCCCCCCGCCCTCGCCGAGGTGCGCCCATCTCCCATCTTGCCCACCTTGACATCGCTCGGGCGTGCGCAACTGTTCCGGCGAGGACCGTCGAGGAGCATCGTGGACCATCTTGCGAAACAAAGAGAGAAGGCACGAAGCCGAAACATGCACGGCGAATGGACGTCCGAGCGACGGGAAGCCCACCCCCCGCGTCCGCGCACGGCCGAGGCAAAGCGGAGGACCCAGCACGAACAGCCGCTGGAGGAGCCCTCCTTCGCCGGGCCGGACAGCCCAGACGGTGCTAAGGTTGCCGGGTTTGTTTTCCCAGTGCCTGGTGCCATGAAGGGCGTCAAGAGTTGGAAGAAGGTCATCTTCAAGATGTCCAACGTTAGTTTCGCCTATCCAGCTTGCAAGAGCCCGTCCATCCTGGATGTGAACATCGAAATGTCCCAGACAAGTCGGATATTGGTCACGGGTGCGAGAGGATCGGGCAAGTCGACCTTAGTCAAAGTCATGATCGGAAAATTGAAGTTGACTGAAGGCGCAATCCAGAAGGCAGTCGGAGTCAGCGTGGCTTACGTTTCCCAGCACATGTTCCATCCGTTCGAGGTGCATGCGCACATGACTCCGCTACAATACATGATGTGGCGTTTCGCCGATGGCAGTGACAGGGAGAACCCTGAGTTCCAGCAGTACCGAGAACTCAGGCTACCCACGCAGGAGGGAGTCGAACAGCACTGCAGTGACTTTGGTCTTGACCGCGAGTCGGTCAGCCGCCTCCACATGAAGCAGCTCGACAAGAGCACGAGGTTCAAGCTCGTGCTGTCTGCTGCGATGTGGTTGAACCCGAACCTCCTCATCCTGGACGAGCCCGCCAGCTGCCTGGACCGCTGCTGCCTCGAGGCCTCCGCGTTCGTCGCCGCCGCCGTCCGTGGGGGCTGACCACACGTGCGCTCCAGATCGGCCCCCTCGCAGGGCCAGCCACGGCCAGTTTTGCAAGCCGCGTCCAGCAGTTGCGACAGGAGGCCCTCCAAAACGGGCCCACCCCTCCTGAGATCCTGGCGTCCCAACTTTTTCGAGCCGGGCGCTTTCGCTAGACTTCGAGCCCCGGGACCCTCACAGATCGATCTGGCTCGGAAAGTGATGCAGAAAGATGGGGTCTGGGGGCACTGGTGGTGGGTTGCAGTTTTGTAGTTGGCACCTCTTCCTCGGCGCAAGGCGGTGGAAGGGCGACGGAAGCCGGCGGAAGTAGAACGAGGGCGGCTCCGCAGGCGGAAGCCGGCGGAAGTAAAGAACGCGCCCCCCACGCAGACCCTCTCGTGTTTTCAGCGATTCTCGGCCTCTGGGGGACCTGACAGGGCTTCAGGACCGCCAAAGAAAAATGAACACCTGGTCCAGGTGAAAGTGAATGGGTCCACATCTCTGGGGGTCGACGTTATGTAAGAGTATGACGTCGAGGGTCTGGGACGATGGCATGATTTGTGGGCTCAGCGTTTCTGGAGGCCGCTACGGGAGCCTCCCCAAAAGACGCCCGGACAGCCTCCGGAACGAAGACACCGGCGCCGCCTTGGGTGTCGCGCAAGGGCGGGCGATAGATATGGGAGCAGCGAGGGCTCCAGAAAAAGGGCCCTTGAGAGCCCCTGGAGGAGCCCTGTCGGGCCCAAAAGGGGGCCTCCCCTGAGATCCGACGTTGCCAAAAATCAGCAACCTCGCAAACAACCACGAGCGGAGCCCCGGACCCCATCTTTCTGCGTCATTTCTCGAGCCAGATCGATCTGTGAGGGCCCTGGGGCCCGGAAGAGAGCGAAAGCGCCCGGCTCGAAGAAGTTGAGCCGCCAGGATCTCGGGGCCTGGAGCCCGAGAAGTGCACCCCTCTGCCCGCCCCCCACTCCTCGCCCTCCCTCATTCGCGGCGGCGCCCGAGACGCCGGCGCCGCCGCCCCGGGTCGCCGCCCTGAGCTGTGCTGCCCCGAAGGCCCTCGTGGCCGCGCTCGAGGGCTACCGGGGCGGCGTGCTGGTCACCGCCCAGAGCAGGGACGGGCACTGCTTCGAGGGGGCCGCCGCGGAGAGGCACCGGGCGAGCGGGGGAGCGTCGGCGACCGCACCCAGAGATCCGAGGCTCCAGAGAAAATTGGAGCAGGCGTTTTTGTTTACGTCTTCGGCCTCTGGGGACCGTGACCTCTGGGGGCTTTTTTTACCGTTTTCGGCCTCTGGGGGCCATGACTGGGGCTCGGGAGTGCAGAAAAAACGACTCGGGACGAAGAGGCAGCCTTGGGGAAGTGGTCCGGACCTCCGGGGCCGACGCATCGAAAAGATTGGAGCAGCCGGATGTCTGGGCGGTCGGCGGAGAGCGAGGGGGCGAAGGAGCGAGAAAGAGAGGGCCGTCTCAGAAGGCGGCGGGGCCTCTCAGAAGGCCTCGCGCCCTCTGAGAGGTGCTCTGCGTCTTCGGGGAAGGCGTAGGGGCACTGTTCAAAAGGCCCGGGGGACTTCCGAGCCTCCTGGGAAGGCCCGACCTTCTGAGAGGTGCTCTGCGTCTTCGGGGAAGGCGTAAGGAACTTTCTACAAGGCCCGGGGGACTTCCGAGCCTCCTGGGAAGGCCCGACCTTCTGAGAGGTGCTCTGCGTCTTCGGGGAAGGCGTAGGGGCACTGTTCAAAAGGCCCGGGGGACTTCCGAGCCTCCTGGGAAGGCCCGACCTTCTGAGAGGTGCTCTGCGTCTTCGGGGAAGGCGTAGGGGCACTGTTCAAAAGGCCCGGGGGACTTCCGAGCCTCCTGGGAAGGCCCGACCTTCTGGAGGTGCTCTGCGTCTTCGGGGAAGGCGTAAGGAACTTTCTACAAGGCCCGGGGGACTTCCGAGCCTCCTGGGAAGGCCCGACCTTCTGAGAGGTGCTCTGCGTCTTCGGGGAAGGCGTAAGGAACTTTCTACAAGGCCCGGGGGACTTCCGAGCCTCCTGGGAAGGCCCGACCTTCTGAGAGGTGCTCTGCGTCTTCGGGGAAGGCGTAAGGAACTTTCTACAAGGCCCGGGGGACTTCCGAGCCTCCTGGGAAGGCCCGACCTTCTGAGAGGTGCTCTGCGTCTTCGGGGAAGGCGTAAGGAACTTTCTACAAGGCCCGGGGGACTTCCGAGCCTCCTGGGAAGGCCCGACCTTCTGAGAGGTGCTCTGCGTCTTCGGGGAAGGCGTAAGGAACTTTCTACAAGGCCCGGGGGACTTCCGAGCCTCCTGGGAAGGCCCGACCTTCTGAGAGGTGCTCTGCGTCTTCGGGGAAGGCGTAAGGAACTTTCTACAAGGCCCGGGGGACTTCCGAGCCTCCTGGGAAGGCCCGACCTTCTGAGAGGTGCTCTGCGTCTTCGGGGAAGGCGTAAGGAACTTTCTACAAGGCCCGGGGGACTTCCGAGCCTCCTGGGAAGGCCCGACCTTCTGAGAGGTGCTCTGCGTCTTCGGGGAAGGCGTAAGGAACTTTCTACAAGGCCCGGGGGACTTCCGAGCCTCCTGGGAAGGCCCGACCTTCTGAGAGGTGCTCTGCGTCTTCGGGGAAGGCGTAAGGAACTTTCTACAAGGCCCGGGGGACTTCCGAGCCTCCTGGGAAGGCCCGACCTTCTGAGAGGTGCTCTGCGTCTTCGGGGAAGGCGTAAGGAACTTTCTACAAGGCCCGGGGGACTTCCGAGCCTCCTGGGAAGGCCCGACCTTCTGAGAGGTGCTCTGCGTCTTCGGGGAAGGCGTAAGGAACTTTCTACAAGGCCCGGGGGACTTCCGAGCCTCCTGGGAAG